CTTTTTTTTTACTTTTTACCGAAAATCAAGAACAGGAACGGGAAATATCGGGATTGCGCGTACGAAGTCGCGGGCAGAAGCTAGTGTTTAATAAATTAACAAATTCTCCAGAAAAATCTGGGAATACACCCGAAAGAAGTCGGGACGGGCTACTAGTTTTAAGTTATTGCGTAAACTACTTACACCACTATAATATTACCACGTTAATTATTATATTTTCGGCTTACTCACGTCATTAACAGTCACATTTAACAGTAGTAGCGCGACAGTCACCGCGTCGCGGATCGCGGAATGCTGCTCATGAATATGAGCCTCTAGCATGGCTTGAAACTAGTCGAGTACCTCGTCAAATAAGTAAGACGAAAACATAATAATTAATTTAGTATGTCTCACAACAGTTATAATACAAGTTACCACGTAATATTAAGTAAAACTTTTTTTTAATAAAAAGACTCGTTGACATGCACAAAACAGCGCCAACTATCATCGAAGGCAAATAGAAATTGGCCGGAATAAAGGCGAACAATAATCCCAATAACACGATTCGTATCGCGAAAGACCCCAAAACCGGTTCGTGTAGAACAACGTTGACCCCACCTTGACCCCAAAGGCGTTAACGTATCGATTGGGTTTTCGTAAGGCATACAAATACTCCTTGGTACTGTGTGTACTTGGTTACTATCGCGTGGTTTCTGTAAACAAATATTGACGTAACTTCATAGTTCTGTTGTTCTAAAGCAGTTGACAGAATCGTACTGTGTAATTATTATTTAGTATGTTTTTATAATATTTGTAGTGAGGTAGTGAGACATTTTTTATGGCATAAGCCGGTAGACGAGCAGACGGATCACCTGATGGTAAGCAATCGGCGTCGCCCATGGACACCTGGAACACCAGAGGCGTTACAAGTGCGTTACTGGCCTTTTGGGGATTAGGAGTTTTAGGATCGTTGAGGATTCAGGGATTGGGGAGATTGCGGAAGGGGAGGTAATTTGGCCTCCGGTAACCTCACTCACAAGACGAAACACAACGCAAGCGTTGCTTCACGTCGGTTTTCTGTGAGGCCGTGGTATCCCTCCGGTCAAGCCGGCCCATTCGTGCCGAAGCATGGCTCTCCCACACTTCAAATATCAATAGACATACTAAATTAACTAAAAATCACGGGTCACTCATAAGAAAATAATAAGAAAAACTCTCTAGTAGGCTGCACGACATCGCCGCGACCGCGCACGCTGCTTATGAGGAAGAACCCCTCTGTGACCCGAAACTAGTACAGCTTTTCTCAATATTTTCACGTGTGTAACTCGCGATATTTCATTATTTAGTATTTGATATACTATTTATTCTAGAGGTATAATTTATGTCAAAGCATAACGCAAATCTCACTTTAGTCATTGAAGCTATGGGTTTATAACTTAGTCTTTGATTGGTTTGTTAAAACCATGGAATTCAGAATTGGACTCCAATTATGAAACTTTGTTTGGTCTAAAGGTACTGTTACATATACTCTAGAATAGCATGATAAAAGACATTGTATTGTGCATACTGATATATTAAAAAAAAATACACGCTTGCCGATTCGCAAACATGCCGAAAACGAACTAATTTTAAGCAACATTCCGAGTTCCGACACACATGCTACTAAGTGAGAAGTGCTTAATTGAAGTTGTGGGGGTCTTTGTGTCCTGAAGGTTTAAGACGCCCGTTTCTTATGCTTGATAGTGCGGGATCGAAAACTACCAACGACAAGTACCAATGTAACTTTTTCCGTGTTAGAACTATGTACTTTATTTATAAGATTATTCACGAACACATCGTAAGGACACCTAGGCTTATAATTTCTAATTATAAGTTTGAAATCGCCAACCCGCATTGAGCAAGCGTGGTGATTAATGCTCAAACCTTCTCCTTGTGAAAAGAGGCTTTGCTCAGCAGATTTATAGGCTGTTAATGTGTGTATGTGTGTGGTCAATTGAAGCGTGTTTTAGTGCTTGAAATTAGTACTTATACCAGTACCTTCATTTCCATAGTATGAATAACAAAACCCTATGTATACCTCTATTATATTATTTCACGTGTCCCCTCCACATAGTAGGTATTACATAAGTGTCACATAAGACAATAGACATCTCGATACTTTAAAATTCTCGCGTCGAAGCCTCGATAAGTCGGTCAAAGGAGCGTTACAGCTTTTGACAAGGGATGATACGAGGTTAAAAATAAACGCATAAGTAAGCTTGATAAATTTACCTTGGGTCGTGGTAAAAAAAATCTCGTGACAAAAATCCTTACGGATAAGAAGAGCTATACGTCAATAGGGACATTGTGGATTTTTTTTCTATCTTTATCTTTACTGCCTCGTTGGCCGAGTGGTCGCAAGACGACAAGGGGTCTCGGGTTCGATTCCCGGGTCAGGCAAAGTATTATTGGGTTTTTTAAAAATTCTCAGTAATAGCAAGGAGTCTGGAATTGTGCCCGGTATATGGCAATAGGCTCACCCCCTATTACATGGGACTTATAACATAAATAGTGGGTGTTACATTGTACAAAGGCATAATGTGCACCTCTGCCTACCACTTCGGGGATAAAAGGCGTGACGTTATGTCTTTATCTTTGGTAGGTTTTTTTAATCCCCGTGGTAGTTTCGGTTTTGGGATTTGTTGGGAGTAACGCATTTGGTTTGATGCTTACGGAAGACAATTTTTGGAAATAATTGATGATTTTTAACCGACTTATAAAAAGAAGGAGGTTCTAAGTTTGACCTGTGTGTTTGTTCGTTTGTATGTATGTTTGTGCGCGACTATCTCACGATTGGCTGAACCGATTTTGATGCGGTTTTCAGTAAAGTATTTGTTATACTTAGGAGAATGTTTTAGTATATTGTTTAACCGAGTTTCAAAAACAGAGGGGATTGAAATCGGTTTTTAAACGTAGCTGTAGTTTATACAAGAAATATGTAACAAAACATAGGTATACTTAAAACGAGACACACTTATATTTGGGAGAATAAGCACTTAATAAAATATATAACAAATAATTTAATAATTGCAATGTGATGAGGAATGATTCAATAAACAAGGTACTAGTGTACTTTAAGTAAATACGTAGGTAAGTACTACCTAACGGGTAACCGGGGCTCCGGCTCGACGTGTAGGAGAAGGAACGGGGTGGTTTTTAATCAGTAAGAGTCTGACACTCCCTTCCGCCTCACCCAGGCGGGAGCAGTCATTCGATGATTTTCCACCCTTAAAAAAAAGCACCTGTAATGCAATACAATCACTATAGTTTCGTTACTACCAAACACTAGATATACTCAACAATTTTCTATCAAAAACATTTGAGGTTTTTGTGGAAAGCCAGCCGTCAACAAATACATATCAGTTGATATATATCTGCGACAATTTGCTAGTATTTGTCACTCGAAGTATGAAGGGTCATTGCGAACGGAACGGGGTCGTGTGACATCGCGTCGGTAACAACTGTCAATTGCGACGAGTCGCAGCGGTTTGTTGTTTAGTAGATATAGTATTTATTTCTATTTGTATAGTATTTATCTCTATTTGTACGTGTGCTTTTATGTACGTAAAAATAAAAAAAAACACTATAACCAGCTGATTTCTTAAAAGCTATCAAACCCAATTATACACCAACACAAGTCTGCTAGGAGGAAAAAGAAAAAAATCTAGTAAGAGCGAGAAAGTTTTAAGTGTGGGAAAGCCATGTTTCGGCACGAATGGGCAGGCCTCACAGAAAACCGATGTGAAGCAACGCTTGCGATGTGTTTCGTCGTGTGAATGAGGTTCACGGACGCCCAATTACTCTTCCGTTCCCCAATCTCTCCAATTCCTGAATCCCCAACGATCCTCAAACTCCTAATCCCCAAAAGGCCGGTAACACACTTGTAACGCCTCTGGTGTTCCAGGTGTCCATGGGCGACGTCGATTGCTTACCATCAGGTGATCCGCCTGATCGTTTACCGGCTTATGCCAAAAATAAATAAATGAAAAGAGGTCTTTAAAAAGCCACAATACCGCTTTCTCCTTCCCCTAAGGTTTTAATCATCAGTGCCGCTCAGAAAATGATGATATGTCGCCTGTGATAGAATATTATGAAGAGTTAAGAGTCTATCTATAAGCTTTACTTAAATTAAAGTATTACCACATTGTTTATTCATGTTTTAGACCATATAACATCACGCCTTCATTACAGTCAAAAGTATTCAAAGAGTAGAGAAATATGGAGGATATAGTCAAATACTGGACACCAATCTAAGCTAAATCCTGTACTTACCATCACACGTATAACCACTATCTCTGCAGCAACAAAAAAAATAAACACACCACAAATACTCCGCATTGTGCCTCAAAATAGGCTTCAAAATAAAACACCCGCTAGGTGCTCTTAATATCAAAATGTAGCATTTAAACTCTTGAGCACTCAAACTAGGTTGGAACTTCACACACATTGTACTTGTTGCTAGAAATAGGTCAAACTGAAGTGGTTCTGGTTCTAGACAAGTTAGGACATGACGCAAATGGAATGAGATTATACTCAGTAGTGTTCTCTCTAACTAATTTAAACTCGGCCGTAAAATATTCTTGTGTGGAAATGCTTGTCATCTGTAGGGAGTTGCTTGTGTGTCGCATAAGTTTGTGGTTTAATACGGAATATGCTTCTGATGGAATAGATAGAGATGCACTGATATAATAATTTTAATTACTTTTTTACCAATCATTGGCCTAATCTGATTTAGATTGGAATTACTGGTTTTCCAATTTTCAGGGCTTATGCGACACTTGAAACTGACACTGCTTATATATCATGTGTATGATTGGCAACTAAGGACTGATAGCATAGTGAAGCTCATTTGTAGAACCTAACTTAATAAAAAACTAAAATTAATTCCAGAAAGTTATCTAAATTTCAACCTAAGCAGATTTCCTACACTAAAAACCTAACCTAACCAAATGATAATCCACGAAAATCTCCATTGTCCCCAGGCAAAGTGGATGAGAAGGCGACACAGTTGCACGCGATAGCTTCCTTAAAGGTGTTGCTGGAGGCGACACGGCCGACAGCTGGTGGTGCTGGTGCAGCCGCTGCGAGACATTCTGCAGCGGCCGCGCAAGCCAAGGAGACACCGCTAGACCTGCCCAACGGTGGGATTGCGGACGTCCAGTTAGATGCTATAGAAGAGGTAAGATTGTGTGGTTTAGTTTATGATTAAGATGACAATGGTTGTTTCTAGGTGTTTAAATAACATAAATGATTTCTTGGGCTATAGAAAATGTAAGCTTGACTCTGACATAGAACTATGAAATCATAGTTCTATGTCAGATACTTATTACTGCATGGTTGGTGCGGTGGCTGGGCAACCGGCTGCCGTGCTACGTGTCGCGGGTTCGATTCCCGCACGGAACAACACTTTGTGTGATCCACTAATTGTTGTTTCGGGTCTGGGTGTCATGTGTATGTGAACTTGTATGTTTGTAAACGCACCCACGACACAGGAGAAAATCCAAGTGTGGGGCAACGTTTTTTAAAAAAAAATATGATTTGACTAGGAAAACAGAGATAATCTGAGTGCGTAGAAAACAATTTCACCATTTTTACTTGTGTCCAACAAAAATACTACGTTTGAACGAACAATCCGAAAAAGAAATCAAATAGAATTGTACCCAAACTTCTGTCATATCAAGATAAACACGCCTTTGTTCGATCGAAGAGATTTATAGTTTCAGTCATCTCCGTCTCATTGTGTGCGACGTGGCAAATGATTAATTGACTCCACGACCTGAATCCTGGGCCCAGTAATCTGCACGGTTTGGGTTCCACCGTTTTTGTGCTCACAAATTCAATTTTTTGGGCCAGAAAATGTAATGTGCGATCGTGATGGATACCGTAATTAGGTAGATCTAGGAAAAATCTTTGTTTTTATGGGGCATCGGTGACGACTAGGCATGTTTTAATAGAGGTTAGACACGATTCGTGATTGTTTTTGGTATCAGCACTATTTAAATGTTAGCATACTTAAAGGCTGAACTGATATTTTGCTACATCTTTCGCCAAAAATGTTGAAATTCAACTGTAATACAACCTCAATCGTATCATAGCCATATCATCAATTTTTGTATTCTTACATTCAACCACTTTTTAAAAATATTGTAAACTACCCCATTATGAACATTTATTTTTCATTCCTATGTATTTTTTCATTCAACTATTGTTTTGTGCTCATCCTCTTTGAATTCCAGCTCAGTATTTCACTAAGGAAGATCAAGACGGCAGCATTAACAGATTGCTGCAGTTGTCCGTCATCTCTGTGAACATGTTAATGTAAATAGAGATCACCGACAAATGCAGCAACAATCATCTACTGCAAGTTCTTTAAGAATGAATCATCGTCAGCTGGAAGACATTCCCCGTAATCCTCTCGATTGGCGGGCTGCTGCAGACAGTAACAAAACCATCCAAAATTTAGAAAAGGCTGCTCTATATTTTAGTGAATGGTTGCATATTTTTCCGTGTTACATACAAACCAATCTTACCAATATTTAACCTTGGGTCATCACAAACTTAACAAACACGGCTCTCTCCAAACCAGCAACGTCATTGTCATTTAAATGTGAGCTTTAAATCGTGTGTGATATGACATATCTCCTAACGTTAATATAAAAAAGCTGTGAGCACGCCGTCCGCGCACAGGCGGCGTGATTTCAACCTTTTTGTATTGTTTCTAAAGCAAAAAACGCCGTGCCGCAGCCGTGCTTATTAGGTATGTGGATGATCTTTAATCTGTAACACTGTTAATTGTTAATTTTATTACTGTGGCAATTTTTTCAATCAATCCTAGTTTATAAATCGTGTAACTAACGCTTTCCAAATATATTGATATAGTCCTCAAGATGTTATAGATGAATGCTATGAACACCATCATGCCCAATTTACTGATCCCCACTCCATTCGTTCTTGTGTTTCATTTCACCGGAACGATCGAAGAGGTTGGACCAGTCGGTTGGATCTTAGCGAAATCTTCATCATCAACACTTTCGGAAAATCTGGAAGATAGAAGACCAGTATCTATTAAAGTTATTTATTTAGAATGGCTATTTAGAGACTGTGAAAACCTATCAATGTTACAAACTTAGTTATTTTCTTTAACTGTGCCATCATTATTCATCATTTTATTTCCTAAATGTTATTCGTGTTCGTTCATACCATGTGCATTTTTTTCATATTATCAGCCACATCTTCAATTGTTTTAACTTCTAAGGCCTATCAAGAGCCTTAGAATCGTTTTCCATCTTCAAGGGTAGTACAGAATACCCCAATAAAATTGGGACCAGGAGAAGGAGATGTTTTGTTCGCATTTCCCATCTAATTAGCCCAGTCCCTCATTCTTGTTCTTAATGAACACAAGACGGAGTGACTGGGATCATATTGAGTGGGAACTTCACGACGTCATCAGCTGCTCATTTACACAGAACTTCCATATCATAACTTTACTTCTTTCTCATTCTTGCTTTTTGTATGTGTGTGTGTTTTGTTTTGTTCATTGTATTGTGTATTTGTGTGTTTTCATTACATTTGTGTCAATGGCCGTTTTCACCAGCCACCAGTAAACTATATCTTAACTAAGAGTTACTTATTGTGAGAGCCTAACCTAAACTAACCCATAGCTTGTACTGTTAGGTGTCACTTATGAGTTGGAGAAAACCAAAATGTCGTTAAGTATCACCTACCTTAAAAGTTATGGGAGGTTGATGAACACGGGCGGGAATGTCATAAATGTGTTGTCATTGTGTTGAATATCGTGTCAAAAAATTATATGCGTGTGTTACATAATCTACCCCGGTATCGAACTTAACTTCAGAAACAAATCATTGTAACCTGTAAGATTTACCTGTCGATTTGATTTAAAATCAATTTTTGGATATGAAAATCCCTCAATCCAACCTGGTAAACAATTTTAATTCCTTTTCTGTATCTAATCCATTTTGTCATGTGACTGGGGATGTCGTGTACTGGGATTTACACTGCCAAATATTTTGGAAATGACACGATTAGATTATTTTATTTATTACTGTTTTTTTTGAAAACAATAGCAAGTGTAGGCAAGCTGTATTGTATTTTGAAGAAACTAGTCGAATTCCTTGTCAAATAATAATTACGTGAATAAGCCGAAAAATAAAATAATTATACAATTTTACAAATCAACAAATACATTAACCACGTTAATAAACAAAACTCAACTTAATGAACATATTTAACAGGTTTTCACGAGAATCCTTTAAGCTCTAGTAATGATAAAAACATTATGGATAATATTCACGCAAAATCTCACTTAGTCCGGTCTCTCATAGTCTAGGTGGCAATTTGTTATCTGTGAATCGTGTGTGCCTGACAGTATAGTCTGTGGCCGTGCCATTCCCCAAAATGCCTTTTTCCCTGTGTATAACTTTTCCTTTTAACTGTCTCCCAACTATCTAAGGGTTTATGAGTGGGTCTCCATAATAGAATGCCAAAATTGGGTCCTCGTGATGTTCCAGCCCTTTGTAGTCAAATTTATTGTGTTCAACGCCGCTCTGTTTCACGCCCTACCGGCTATTTAAACTTCGGAATAGTTTTATTTTGTGTTAGTAGAATTATGAGGCGTTTTGAAACGAATACCTATGTATTGAATCTACTTGAGTTCTTTCTAGTATTACATGTAATGTACCAAAAATATTACATTTAATAACAGTTCTTATAAGGAGAAAGACACAGTAATTATCCACTTACCTTAATTCCTTTTAAAACTCATGAGATCATAACTCATTTCTTGCTTCAACACCATTATCATTGTAATCCGCCACTCCAACATCCAAACATCTGCTCCCCAAAGACTTCCAAATCGTTTCTGGATTCAAGTTTCAAATTTTCCAGATCGTAACCAGTGTCCATTGTTCCAGATTGGAGACCTGGAGGAGGACACGACGCCGTTGGACATGTCGTGGCCCACAGGGTTCCGCAAGCGAGTAACTTACTTGTTAGTCGCACCCATTGTCTTCCCACTCTGGATGACCCTACCAGATACAAGAACACCGAAAGGTATAATTTTGTTTCTTTTATTTATGTTTTTATTGAAATTTCGAGATGCCTAGATGGCGCTAGTATAGGTAATAGCTCTTAAGATTGATTTTTTCATGTCGAACGCTATTAGCGTTTAGAAAGTTAAAAGATTGTATGTCGATTTACTTAGACCTTCTCGCTATTGTGGGATTTTAGATTCAATGGATTAGATAATTAAGATTTATGCAAAAATATATTAGCACACGTACAATCCTGACTGTTTAATATTATTTATAAATATTTTTACTAATACATACTTTTTTCTTTTCAGGGAAAAGATTTTTCCCGGTAACATTTATAGGGTCTATAGTTTGGATAGCTTTCTTTTCGTACTTGATGGTATGGTGGGCGAATGTAGCGGGGGCGACGGCCCATGTGCCTCCTGAGGTGATGGGACTGACACTCCTGGCTGCTGGAACATCGGTTCCTGACCTCATCACGTCAGTCATCGTCGCCAGAAAGGGGTTCGGCGACATGGCTGTCTCCAGCTCAGTCGGCAGCAATATTTTTGATGTTACCGTTGGGTAAGTGTTTATTTATTTTGTTAAGTACTTACACGCTAATACTTATTATTTAATATTTAAATATTTTGTTTTGACGTTCAAAAGTGCCTATGATTTTGACTTTTGACTTTTTGAGTATATAGGTACCAAAGACAACAAGACTTTCGTAAATTATAGAGCTATTTTTAGCTATATAATTATGCTCATTGCGTTATTTTCGTTTTATTATAATTTTTCTTTGTTATAATATAGTCGAACTAAAAGCAAATTGCCGTTGTTTTGAGTTAAGAAAAGTTTTCAGCGCATGTATACACGTACATTGCGGGTATGTTCCCTCGAGTAGTTTTGAGCATTGCGGCTTCTCCCCCCAAGAGGGATGCAAACTATCTGATAAACGCTATTGCAGATGAAACCGATATTTTAACGGCCGGAATTCCGCGCCTGCCGAATACTTTAGCGCGGGCATTCCTCGGAGAAGTTCTGGCATAGTTTAGTAGTTCCAAATTTGGGCCACGGAGAGTTACGGCTTTTTTATATATGGCGACAAAAGTCCTGTTTAAAATTTATTATAAACATTTCCCGTTTTATATGACCTGCATTTAGTAGCTCGTTTTATCGAGATCTCATTTCAGTTTGCAGTTTACAGTTTGAACTTTATGACAATGCACTTAAAAGTTATATTTGTTTACGTTCAAGTATATTCCTTACTGCTCATTTCATATGGAAATGGGTTTCTTTTATAGATTTGAGAAACAGTTTTTAGGTACACATACACACATAACATTCCCCAAGGACATAAAAAAAATGGCGGACATAGTCTCTTGAAGCAACGACTGTGGTACTTAGCCACTATAGACTTGCACGCAGATTACACACACATTGACACGGAGGACATCTGTCACGTGACATGGCCCGTCATTACACTTCATACATTACGGTGTTGCAAGTACACGCACACATAACACACCACAGACATTTGGTGCTTCAATCATTTCTAATTGATATAACGTCCGCCTTTTACAACGTCCTTGGCATTCCCTATGAAACTGTTGTAGTAAGACCAAAATCAAAGTATAATTTGGCACTTTCGAAACGTCAACAAATACAAAATAAATAATAGTCTGTCAGTCAGTCCACCAGTGATGCTAGGTGAAGCTAGGTGCTCATTCCAAAATATTAGAATGGACCTGGTATAAGACTCTGTAAAAACTGAAAATAAATGAGCATCACAAGACGTTCAAATCGTTCTAACTAGAAATTAAACCCGAATTCTTCTGCTTACCCGCCACTTACAATAAGCAATATTTTGTATAACAGTTACATTTACCGAACTCCTACAAACACATGGTCTAAAGAGAATAATTAAGAATTATACGTTATATAGTATACCCTCGACACTGGCAGTATAGTCGACAACATCGTATTGGAGACTCGGTTGCCAAAGAAAAAAAAAATAGTATACCCTCGTATAATTGGGTAAAATACTTCATCAAACCCCTACAGATTCCCTCTAATTAGATTCCTTGATTGGATTCGAGAAACATATATTATGGTTACTGCTTTTTCCTTGATTGCACACGATAGTCATAGTAAAGTACCAATAAATCTTATTTGATATAAAAATATGAGTAACATAGGTATTATCATGCCTACCGTTCCATAAGGGATTTCTTTTTAAGGGGGGAAAGTCATCGAATGACTGCACCTGCCTGAGTGAGGCGGGAGGGAGTGTCAGACTCTTACTGACTAAAAACCACCCCGTTCCTTCGCCTGCACGTCGACCCGGAGCCCCGGTAACCCGTTATGGTGTCCGCGGCTCCGAATCGGCATCAGCCCTATTGGGCCCCATCCGTGGTGGTCTTTTGGCTCTTTGAGGCGCGTGCAAAATGCGACTCGCCGTACGCTCGAATTTTCATAGGGGATAGACAAAGATCAAGAGAACATATAACATCACGCCATGTTTCCTCAGAAGGTTACACGTATTTTTTAAATTTGTATTATACTTGTAACCCCCTTCTAAGAAAAAGCACCCTGTATTACTTAAAAATCTATTGTCATGCGCACGATATATTAAGTATAGTTCTGCCAATATAAATTCCTGTGTTGAGATGGCATGATGAATAAAATTTAGTAGCCTTTTAGTATTCGGTCGTTAGACTACTCATTTCATACTCCATTTCATTCTGATATCGAAAAACTCTTCAGTTTCCGATTTTGAGATCAAATTCTAGACATTTGCAACCCTCAGAGATAAGAAGCAAAAAACAATAAGCGGACTACTCTATACCTACATACATGCAGTTCAATATGAACTAATAAAAGAACCCGAAACACAAGTTTAACTAAACCAAGTGTGTACCTAACTGTGGCCAACATCTGCTAACCAAAAACGTAACGAACTTAATCAAATGAACTTTCCCAACCTGTGTTCCGAGATAAGAACATTCTAGACTTTAAATAACGAACGTTACGCCATCTTAAGCTTACCCACTACTTGGAATTGGAACGCCGCCAAAAAACGACGGTAGTTATGAATTCGCGCGCTTTTTCTCGCGGAGTGGGGGGAAACTGCGCATTTATTTTTGAGACGCCGCTCGAGTAGGTCGTGTTTGCTTTTCGTTTATTTTTTGCTAGAAGATGTAAAGAAATTGCTTAATTAGCGGGGATACCTGAGATAGACATTCTTCAGTGAATCTACTCTTTACCAGTAATATTAAATACAACTCTTATAAAATAAGTACGAACCTAATTTTACATAATTCGATAGATGTCTACTATTATGGAGAATGTCAAAGATTTAAAAGTCATCTACTAATATTTTTTCTATTAAACCAGTCGTTCTCAAGACTTCTCATTGGACCATTGCTTTTCTATCAACCAATATGAGTCAATCTTTTAAAAATAAATGATTACTGCATTAATTCATTTCCTGAAATCAGTTGGCCCTTTGGCCTTAATAGGTACATTCGCTTGAACTTTATAGGCCAAGAGACCTGGCTGACAACAGTGGCCTTGTAACGCTAATTTTCTATGAATACTTTATGCTGTAAAGGTTTTATAGTACTATGATGTTACATTACGTATTTAAACTAGAAAGAGTTCACTGAAAATGATTTTTAAACTGATTATTTTAGGAATTGAAACATAAAAGATTTAAAGCCAGTGGAATTTTTTGCCAGTCTGTATTCTGTAACCTGGTTGTATAACCTGGGTGTCTTCAAGGCCCGAGTGAATAGCTTGCATATGGGACGATGTGCTCTATCGTGGACCATATCATCGCTTACCACTAGGCGAGATAATGGACAAACGTCGGCCCATTACGATTGATAGGTTACCAACTATTTTTTTAATTTCAATGGTAAAGGATAAAAGAAAGTCTTTACTATAAGAAAAAATTAAAATTACAAGAAAATTTGAGTACCAACGCGACAGTCGCCGCGTCGCGGATCGCGGAATGCTGCTCATGAATATGAGCCTATAGCTTTGCTTGAAACTAGTCGAGTTCTTCGTCAAACAGTTACGTGAGTAAGTCGAAAACATAATAATTAATTTAGTATGCGTCACGAAAGTTTTAACATTAATAAAGAAAATTTGTTGTAACGATATAACGCAATGGGGTAACAAAGTCGCGGAGAACCTAACGGGTAACCGAAGCTCCGGCTCGACGTGCAGGAGAAGGAACGGGGTGGTTTTTAGTCAGTAAGAGTCTGACACTCCCTTCCGCCTCACCCAGACGGGAGCAGTCATTCGATGATTTTCCCCCCATAAAAAAAAATGGGGTCTTACTTTTGCATTAATAGTCTCGTAGTCAGTTTAGTCGGTACGATACAATACTCTAACTAAAAATTTCATTTCACTCTCCAACCCGCGCCTTACAAAAACCGCATACTGAACTAATAAATAACAAACATGAAATTATATTAGTACAATATTGAAAACGGGTACGATCACGAATCGTGAACGAAACGAGGTCACAGGATACAATCTTTGACCCAATTCCGTAAACAGTTGTTGGATCACCCTTGACTTAGAACAATACAATCGGTTTAATCGTTTCTTAGAGCATTAGTGTTGAAACGCTACTTCGCCCGCATTTTCGCAAAAAGTATATAATTAACATCTTACATAATATTGTATTGTATTGTACTAGTGTGTAGGTTATTATAATAGGTATTAGGTATTATAATATAACATAACATAACATCACGCCTTTTGTCCCCGAAGGGGTAGGCAGAGATGCATTATGCCACTGTAACACCCACTTTTCACTATTTATGTTATGAGTCCCATGTAATAGCGGGTGAGCTTATTGCCATATACGGGGCACAATTCCAGACTCCGTGCTACTACTGAGATTTTTTTTAAAACCCAGTAATAATTTGCCCGACCCGGGAATCGAACCCGAGACCCCTTGCCCGGCAGTCGCACTTGCGACCACTCGGCCAACGAGACAGACTTAGAACAATACAATAGGTTTCATCGTTTCTTAGAGCATTAGTGTTACTTCGCCCGCATTTTCGCAAAATTTATTTATAATAATAATAATAGGGCACCTTGAGGCGAGGTGACGGGCATTAGCGATCCCGCGGGCTACCATCATCCCGAGTGCTCCAGGGAGAAGTCACGTTCCTTCTTCTCCGGCTTGCCTTAATTGGCTGGCTGGAGTGAACGATGACAAGGAACAGGTCTCCCACCTCTGGCTTGCCTTCATTGGTCGTCCAGAGTGGAGTCGCGAGAGCAGTGATCCTGCTCGGAGGGTAAGAAACTATTCGTAAGTCGCGAGTGGGCCAGGGATGCAGGAGGCTTCGGCTGGAGCAGATGATCTGAGTAGAAAGCGGTGGTAGTTTCTTAACCCTTCAGCCACTCACATTCTCGTTGCCCCTCTGTTGCTATATCTAGCAGCCATTCCCGGGGCCCGATCGGTGAGTTGGCGAGTC